CTCCCATGGAGGGAGGGGAAAAGCCCCCCCCCTACGCTGGGAATACAGTCAGCCTCGATTGGGCAGGACACGCCAAAAGATCCAAGACCCTCCCGAGGGCCACATTGCCATAGGCACATAGGCACGTGGCATGTAGGAGGCACGGGTCACGAGAAACAGGACACCAATTGCGACGCAAGGGCGCCTTTGACTTTGCAGGGTCGACCTACTTATCCGGGCCGACTGTAAGCTGGGATGATGACGAGGGGGAGGAGGAGGGAGAGGAGGAGAGGAAGGAGGAGGTGAATGAGGGGTGGAAGGATGAGGGGGGGGGGTGGGAGAGGGGAGGAGGTGGAGGGATTGGATTGTGGTGTCCGGGGTCCGCCGTCCATCCTCCTCCCCCTTGTCCTTCTCCTCCTCCTCCTCCCCCTCCTCCCCCCCCTCTTCTTCCCCCTCCTCGTTGTATCGGTCCTGCTGCTGCAATAGCACCGAGGCGCACGTCCACTGGTTGCAGCGCGCCAGCTTGGCCCCGACCTGGAACGTGGCCGCCGGCGCCGACCGCTTCACCTGGGCTGAGGCAGCCCAGCCCCGCGGGCCCCCTCGAGGAACGACGATATTCAATTTGTTTTGGCATCGGCATCCGGCATCCGGGGGGCCCTCCTCGTCGCCGCGGCTGGACGCGGCTCGGAAACATTTGTCAGTTCGGACCCCAGGAGGGTCCCAGGAAGGACGGCCCGGGGGCCCGCTTTGAGTGGGGGGTGAGAGAGTGACTGCAGGATAGTAGAACATGCAGTCGGACTCGATTGGACAGGACACGCGAGAGAGGACGCAAGGCCTCCCGATTCGGAAAGCTCGGGGGGGGGGGGGCGTCTGAAACAAATTCCAGAAGGCCGCGATGGAGCTCCGGCAAGGCCCCAAGAGGGATCCGAGAGGGAAACCAAAAGAAGCGCAAAGTATGCGCATGAGTGTCTTTTTCGGAAGCTCTTCTTCAGCACGCGCCCTAAAACAGTGCTCGCGGCATCCTTTGCCACGGGAATGCAGGCGGCAGGGGTCGCGAGACACAGGGTGGGTGCGCATTGCGACGCAAAGGTGCCCTCGATTTGGCAGGGTCGACCAACTAATCCGGGCCGACTGCAACAACTCCCCCTCCCTCGCCAGCCTTGTCCTGCTCATCCTCATCCCCCCCCTCCTCCTTGTCTTTCTCCTTCTCGTCCTTCCCTTTCTCGCTCCCCCCATCCTTCTCCTTCCCTCGCGCCCCGCGCCCCGCGGCAATGCGGCGGGGGCCTTGGATAAGGATAAGGAAGCCTCGGATAAGGAATCCGAGGGTCTGGAAGCCATTGCAACTCCAATTGCTGCGCCCAACGAATGCCCCACAGTCTGATGCCTCCAGGGCGCATTCCTTAACCAGCGCCCCCGCCGCATACCGCGCCCTCCTTTGACGCCTGCCGCGCGGCCCAGCCTGCGCGTGGAAGGTCATCTGGCACCTGCGGCGCGGCGAACGGGGGAGAGAAGGAATGAGGGAAGGCAAGGCAGAAGAGGGAGAAGGGGAAGAGGGCGAAGAGGGAGAGAGGCCCCGTCCTAGCCCTGAGTCCCCAGGGCGCCCAAGACATGGAGCTTCGTCCAGCCGCGGCGCCGAGGGGCCACCGAGTCCCCCGAACATGGGGGGGGAAGAGGAGGAGGAGGCCGACGACGACGACAATGCGACAATGAGTGAGAGAGAGAAAAGGAAAGAGAGAGAGAGAGAGAGAGAGAGAAAGAGAAAGAGAGAGAAACAAGAGAGTGAGAGAGAGGGAGGAGAGGAGAGGAGAGGAGAGGAGAGGAGAGGGGAGGAGAGGAGAGGAGAGGAGAGGAGAGGAGAGGAGAGGAGGAGGAGAGGAGAGGAGGATTAGAGGAGAGGAGATTAGAGGAGGAGGAGAGAGGAGCGGGAGAGGAGAGGGAGAGGGAGAGGAGAGGAGAGGGAGAGGAGAGGAGAAGGAGAGGAAGAGGAGAGGAGAGGAAGAAGAAGGCAGAGGGAGAGGGAGGAGAGGAGGAGGAGAGGGACCAGGAGAGGAGGTTAGGAGAGGAGAAGATAGGAAGAGGGAGAGTAGAGGGAAAAAGGAGAGGAAAAGGAAATGAGAGGAGAGGGGACGGAGGAGAAAGAGGAGAAGAGAGGAGAGGAGAGGAGAGGAGAGGAGAGGAGTGGAGAGGAGAGGAGAGGAGAGGAGAGGAGAGGAGAGGAGAGAGAGAGAGAGAGGGAGAGAGAGAAAGAGAGAGAGCGAGATAGCGAGATCGAGAGCGAGACAGCGAGGGCCGGGAGGGTGCCGGAGGGGGCGGGTGGGCGAAAGTGAGGGAGAGGGGGGCGATGAATGACGGATGACGGGCGATGATCCGGGCGACGCCACGGCAAGGATGCACAGGCGCCTCTCTGGCCCAACGGGACAGCTCGGAGCCCTGAGGGCGCTCATGCGACGTCCAGGCGCGCTGGCGCGATGCCTGGCAAGGGTGCCCGAACGCCTTACCGCTCCAGCGCCGTCGAATGTTTTTGCCTCGGCCAGGCGCCCCGCGCGCGCCGCGCGGTCAGCGCCGCCGGGACTAGGCGTACCACTCGACCGCCCTCTGGTCCCGGTAGAGCACCCACACATCGCTGAACGGGAACGCCGGGTTGTCCGGGGCCCTCATCCACACCCCGCCCTCGCGCGCTGCTGCGTGGCGACGAACGGGGCGGAGCAGGTCCCAGATGTCGAAGTCCCTGCAACCGACGACGAAGACGAGACGACGACGACGACGACGGGGTCTGAGGATCGCGCCGCATCGGCGATACATCGGCGGTGCATCGGCGACGCATCGGCGACGCACTGGCGATGCATCGGCGACGTCGGCGATGCAATGGCGACGAAAACGCGAAGAACATCGGGCTCCGCATCGAGACGCATCGTCGATACATCGGCATCGGCGATGCGGCGCAATCCTCCGACCCCACTAACTCCGACCCCATCTAGGACGCCTAGATACAGCGGGGGCGTTGACCTAAGGAACCATACATTTAAAGGAACGAGGCCCCTCTTCCCCATAAGTTAAACTTCCGTTTCCCATGGAAATCCTCAGAACAACCTGAGGCAAGTTGCGAAACAAAGGAACCCCGAGCCCCTCCCCAACGAAAAGAAAAGGGTTCCATCTTCAGCGCCCCGACTGTGCTAAGACGGCGACGGCGCGACGCGGGCAGTGGCGCTGCTTCGCCCCCCTCCAACCCGCGCGGCTCCGGGGCGGCCGGCCACGGCGTCCACTCCATGTCGTCGTCCTTGATGGCGGCCGCCGCCCCCGCCGCTGTGCCCTCCTCGATGGCATCCTGCTCCGCGCCGTCCAACCCGCGCGGCTCCGGGGCGGCCAGCCACGGCGTCCACTCCATGTCGTCGTCCTGGTCCTTGATGGCGGCCGCCGCCCCCGCCGCTGCGCCCTCCTCGATGGCATCCTGCTCCACGCCGTCCGCGATGGCAGCGAACCCCACCTTTCCCCTCAGAAGCCATGGGGGGGGGCGGTGGGCTGGTGGGTGGGGGGTCGCGTGTGGCCCCCTAGTGGTGGCCGCCGCGCCCCCCGCCGCTGTGTCCTTCTCGATGGCCTCCTGCTCGCCGTCCGCGATGGCCGCTGCGCCCTTGGCCGCCGCCGCAGGAGAGGCCCCCTGCCCGGCGCGCGGCGGGCTGCGGCTGCGGCCGCGCTCGCCCTCGCCCTGCTCCGCGCCGTCCGCGATGGCTAGGGGGCCACATGCGAACCCCGCGATTTCTGAAGGGGAAGGGTGGGGTTCACTTCGCTCGGGGTTCACTTCGTTCGGGAGCCCCCGAGCGAAGTGAACCCCGCCCTTCCCCTCAGAAGCCGTGGGGGGTAGGCTGGTGTGGCCCCCTAGTGGTGGCCGCCGCGCCCCCCGCCGCTGCGCCCTCGATGGCCTCCTGCCCCGCGCCGTCCGCGATGGCTAGGGGGCCACATGCGAACCCTACCCCTACCCCTACCCCAGCGATTTCTGAAGGGGAAGGGCGGGGTTCACCTCGCTCGGGGTTCACTTCGTTCGGGAGCCCCCGAGCGAAGTGAACCCCACCCTTCCCCTCAGAAGCCGCGGGGGGTAGGCTGGTGGGGGTAGGGTTCGCGCGTGGCCCCCTAGTGGTGGCCGCCGCGCCCCCCGCCGCTGCGCCCTCGATGGCCTCCTGCTCCGCGCCGTCCGCGATGGCTAGGGGGGCGCATGCGAACCCTACCCCAACGATTTCTGAAGGGGAAGGGTGGGGTTCACTTCGCTCGGGGTTCACTTCGCTCGGGAACTCCCGAGCGAAGTGAACCCCACCCTTCCCCTCAGAAGGCGCGGGGGGTAGGCGTAGGCTTGGGGGTAGGGTTCGCGCGTGGCCCCCTAGTGGTGGCCGCCGCGCCCCCCGCCGCTGTGCCCTTCTCGATGGCCTCCTGCTCGCCGTCCGCGATGGCCGCCGCGCCCTCCCCGACGCCGATCCCATCCGCGATGGGCCCATCGGCGATGGCCGCCGCCGCAGGAGGGGCCCCCTGCCCGGCGCGCGGCGGGCTGCGGCTGCGGCCGCGCTCGTCCTCGGGTTCGTCGTTGGGGGCGGGGCTGTTGAGCGGGGACTGGAAGGACGACGATTTCGGCGAAAATGGCGATCGCGGCAACGATTCTGTTGGCGTCGGCGTCCGCCCCATCCTCGCCTTTGGACGCCCGAAATGGGCACCGAAAAAATTGGTACGATGCCCAACAACAAATGTTGTCCCAAACCGACAGCGGCCGCTGTTTGGCAGGCGGCCTCCTGTCTCATCTCGAATGGACAGGCCGCAGCGGCGTGGACAGCGAGCCCTGTTCAAAATGAACAAGATCCGCTGTTGGGCATTGTGCCCATTCTTTTAGTGCCCATTTCGTGCTTGCAGATCGCCAGCTTCAGCAGCTCGCGAGCATCGACCAACGGCACGCCGTCTTTGATGAGGTCCTCCAGGTCGACGCACGAGAGGTCCGAGGGCTCCTGAACCCCGAGCTCGGCGAGGACCCTCGCGTAGCCCGC